TGTAGTCCTGGCCCTTCCTCCACTAACCACTCCTTAATTGGTCACTGCAAGGACAGTTTGCTGATATTGCATTGGTGGCTGGCAGTAATCTGCTTAGCTATTGCCCGAGTATATGTACATGATAACTGCACAATAAAATTAGACCTGCTTCCTGCTTGGTCTCTGGAGGTGTTGATTAGAGACTCTGCAGCCACACTCTCCTCTACTCTGTTCCATGGACCTCCTCGATGAATGAGAGAGATCCAACAAATAGACTCAAAGTCTTTTGATCATCTCAATAGATACAGAGAAAGCATTTGACAAAATACAACACTTCTTCATGTTCAAAACACTAGAAAAACTAGGAATATCAGAAAAATACATCAACATTGTAAAGCCTATCTATGATAAGCCCCATGTCAACATCATCCTAAATGAATAAAAATTGAAAGCCTTCCCTCTAAAAACAGAAACAAGACAGGGATGCCCCATTTCACCACTTCTATTTAACATAGTTCTTGAAACTCTAGACAGAGCAATTAGACTGACAAAAGAAAATAAAAGAATATGGATAGGAAAAGAAGAACTCAAATTAGCACTATTTGCCAATGATATGATTCTATACCATAGAAGACAAAAAAATCCCCCAATCTTCCAGAACTAAAAAATTAATTCAGCAAAATATCAGGATACTGTTTATTTTTGTTATTTAACTTAACTTGGTTTTCCTCTTTGATTAGTTTTTCCTTTATTGTGCTACCTCCCTCTGCTGGTTTTCATTGTTGTTTTCCATTTCCTCTTCATGAAATATTTTGTAAAGGATGTTTGTAGTGCCAGTTTCCTAGCTATAAATGCTTTTAATTTTTGTTTATAATGGCAGGTTTTTATTTCACCTTCAAATTTGAAGCTTAATTATGCTGGATACAAGATTCTTGGTTGGCACCCATTATCTTTCAGAGCTTGAAATATGTTGTTCCAGGATCTTCTAGCTTTCAGGGTCTGTGTTGAAAAATCTGCCATTATCCTAATTGGTTTACCCCTATATGTAATCTGATTCCTTTCTCTTGTGGATTTTAAAATTCCCTCCTTATTCTGTATGTTGGGCATTTTCATTATAATGTGTCTAGGTGGGGATCTGTTGTTTTGCACATTCGGCATCCTGTAGGTTTCTTGGATTTGGATTTCTGTTTCATTTTTCGTGTCTGGAAAGTTTTCTGACATTATTTCATTGAACAGATTGATTATTCCTTTGGTTTGGACCTCTATGCCTTCCTCTATTCCAATAACTCTTAAATTTGGTCTTTTTTATGCTATCTCGTATTTCTTGGATGTTCTGCTTGTGTTTTTTATCATTCTTTTCAAGATGATATACTTTATCTTCATTGTCTAATGTCCTATCTTCTAAGTGGTCTACTCTGTTGGTGATGCTGTCATTTGAGTTTTTAATTTGCTTTATTATTTCTTTCATTTCAAGGATTTCTGTTTCTTTTTTTTTGTATAACCTCTACTTTCCTGTTGAGTTGATCTCTTGCTTCTTCGATTTGTTTATGTAGCTCATTATTAAAGTGATCTTTCACTGCCTGTATTTGTTGTCTAATGTCTTCTTTGAGATCCCAGTACATTTTATCCATGTACATCCTGAAATCTTTCTGTGTTATTTTTTCTGCTGTAGCTGTCAGTCCTTCTAATGATGTGTTGTCTTGAATTGTTTGTGGTACTTTCTTCCCTTGTCTTTTCATGTTGCTTTCATTTCTTTTTTTCTAGCTCTGTGGGTCTGGTGTGTTATTGTTTTTACCCTATAGATTTGTAGTGCTCTTGTATGGTTCTAAGATCTCTCCTTTTTGGGGAAGGACAATGTTAACAAATCCTAATACCAACAATACGTCACCTATGAACAAATCATTGTTATTAATACATTTATAGTTAGTCTCAATGTCCAGAAATGTTGGATTCAATTATTATTTAAAATATAATCAGTAGTTTTATAAAAAGTATACAGTTTCTGGTGGCAGACAGTGAACCGGGGGTTGGGCATAGAACAATCTGCTAAGGGGAAGAGATGTCAGGGTATTGGGCTAATATAACTCAGGAAATTTGAAGGAAAACTCTAATGAAAAGGGTTAGAAGCAGGGGAATAGACAGGAGGTGATTTAGGGTAGACAATTACTTGGGAGAACAGTAGAGTACATAAAAACAAAGGCACATATGTATTTAGAAAATTACAAGATGTTAAAATAGTAAAATTTGGAAGGTGAAAGAAGAAGACAGAAGAAAAAGGGAAAGAAAAAAAGAAAGAGAAGAAAGAGAAAAAAAAGAAAAAAGAGAGAATAAAAGGGGGCCTTATGTAATTTCCCTATATTATATTTTCCAGGTGACTCAGTTCTCAAAGTTCTATTTCATGTAAAGTTCTTGGTTTCACATATGTTGGGGTTGTGAGGTTCAGAAGATAGAAGTGTAGAGGAGGAAGAAGTATAAGAAGGAAAAACAACAACAACAAAAAAAAAACCTCTTAGAATTCCGTTTCCTTCCTTTCTGCTTCTCTTCTCTCCCAGTAGGTGGGGTTGTCTATTTAAGCTGGAGTCTCTGTCCTCAGGGTGGTGTAGGTAACCAGGGTGAGAAGACTTGAGCCCCGCTCCCCCCATCGTCTCCCTCTCCTGCCTTGAGCACCCCAATCCTGGTCTCTCTGATTTGCTTCAGGTTTTTTAGACCCCTCCCTTACTTTGCTTATCACCCTCAGGTTCCTGCCGGGTGGGTGGTGCCCTGGTCTCACAGAGCTACAGTTCAGCTGAGAGTGGGTTTTGCGCTGGGCAGTAATGGTGCTGAGTAATCACAGCTGGGGGTGGGGTTGGGGAGGAAGTTGGAAACCAGGTACCTGTTCAAATGGAGGTCCATAGCTACACCCACCAAAAAAATGGCGAGAGAGGTTTTCCAAGAAGGAGTCGGTCTGCTTCCTGTGCCAGGATGTCTGGTGAGGTGGGGGGAGCTGGGGTGGCCTTGAGCTGTGTGATTGCAGCCGTGTGGCCTGCGTGGGAGTGGAGCGCAGCTGATAAGGTGGTTCTGCTCCGCTGCTTGAGAGCCCTGTGCTTTGGGTCTGGAGTCCGGAGTCTTACTGGAACAGAGGCTCTGATTTCTGTGCAGGTGGTCGGTAGCAGATCTGATGGTTTCTGTGGAAATCCGCTGTCTAGGAGTCCTGTTGTACTTTCTGAGATGCTGTATTCCGTCTAGGTGAGACCTTGTGGAGACCTTTCTGACTCTTTTCTTGGTTTAATTCCACAGAGCAGCCAGAAACAGTACCTCCTCTATTCCGCCATGTAGTCTTGAGCTTTTCTTTGTTGGAAGGCTTTTAATTGCTCTTTGAATTTCATTCCTTGATACCATTCTGTTTAGGTTTTCCATACCCTTCAGGTTCAGTTTGGGCAGGTCACATGTATCTGGGAATTTGTCAATGTCTTCTAGATTTTCCAATATTTTTGAGTCTAAATTTTCAGCATAGTATCTGTTCAATGTTCCTGGATTTCAGAAGTTTTTCCAGTGATATTTTCTTTTTTTGTCTCTACTTTGATTGATTTGTGTCTTCCTTCTCTTACTTTTGGTCATTTGGCTGAGAGATTTTCAATCTTATGTATCTTTTAAATGAACCATTTCCTCCTTGCTTTGAACCTTTGTATTCTTTTTCTTTCTTAATTTCATTAATTTCTTCACTAATCTTAATGATTTCCTATCATCTGTTCTTTTGGGAATTATTTTGTTCTTTTCCTAAGACCTTGAGTTGGAGTATAAACTTATTTACTTAAAATTTCTTTATTTCATTAAAGTAGGCACTCAGTGATTTAAATTTTCCTGCTAGAACTGCATTCATAGTGTCCTAGAGACTTAGATATGTTGTACCTGTGTTCTTATTGCTTCTGAAATTTCTTGGTGTCTACTGTCATTTTTTTGATCCATTTTATATTTAAAGAATAAGCAACTGAGAAGAAAGTGCAGTGAGGACAGGAGAGGTAATAATTCTGGAAGTGAGATTAAACTGGGCACAAGGGGTCAAAACAGAAGTTGTTGGCCATGATGTGTGGACACTGGTCCTTCATCAGTGGACTTTTGTGTGGCAGATAGAGGAAACTGGTTAAAGTGGCATTACCTACCTACACTAGAGGGAGGGAAACAGTGGTGCCCAAAATGGTGATGGTATTAAATGGGGCTAATAATTGATCAAGGTAGAAAAGATGCTTGCTTCACATCTTCAATTAACCAGGTGGACATGGTTGAAACTCCTGCAGATAAGGTTTTACAAATAAATAAATTACTAATGCTCAGTGTCTAGTGTTTCAAATTGCTCTTCACTAAGCTCACATTTTATTATTATTTACATTTCCCTATATGTTTAAACTGACATTTAACTGATAATTTGAGTGTTTTCAATATTTTGAAGAAACACTGTAAAGGTTGAAGAATGATAGTTATTTTTAATGACTGCTATGGAG